AAGCATGGGATGTGGTTAATAATTGCGTGTGCACTAGTCTGTGTCTGTTTTCTTCCCGATAGGGAGCCGATACTAGTGGTACGGGTTCAAAAGATTTGACATCACCAGCTGTTTGGTCAGCGCTGACGGGGATGTTGCGGGTAAAGAATCATTGGTGTATTGTGATGCCCATGGCTTATTAATCTGCCTAATTTTTGGAGACATTCTATGTGTCCTTACGTGGGTTTTGTTTTGTGCATTGCTACACTGTGGTTTAATTCTCAGCAGACTTGTGGCATACATTGTCAAAGTTTGTTTGTGTGTCATACTTTGAAGACCCAGAGTGGTTGGGAGCTGAGATTTGAGTGCTGTCACCTGTACCATTTTGCGTGATGATGTTGCCACGCCGGCTGTCAGTGTGGGCTTTAGTATGACGGCATATTATGCAACCATGTTCTGACATTATGGTCCATGGACCGTGTGACCCTATATCTGCCTCTGGTGCTCTTGTTGGTATTATTTTTTGTCTCATTTCCCTTACAGCGTGAATTCTTCTCAGGAGTTTGAAAATGTGGAGGATTTTTCCTTACGAGTGGTGTATTCTAGCATGTTTTGTTACCCGATCCCGTCTGAACTCTCACGTTACTGCTAGGAGATGATGTTGTCAACTTACGAGGGGCATGTATTTCTGTCTTAGGGCTATCCAGAGACATATCTAGATCCACGGTAGAGAGGATAGGGGCTATATCATGAGAAGGATTATAATCCACTAGCCTTTCAGATGGTGTCGTGTTCTGTGGAGCTAATTTTGCGAGGTCTGAGAGGGAGGGCTATGAGTTCTACGATTTTGACTGTGGGTTTATCTGTTTTTGTGTCTTGCAGTGTCTCACTCTTCTTACCATTAAGTTTAGTGAGATGGTTGTAAGCAAGCCTTCCAGTCACTGTTTTATTGGCTACAACTTTTATTTGTTTGTAGCTCGTATCCTGTAATGGGATACTTTGTGAATTGATGAATTTCTTAGCCTGCCAGTGTTTCAAACTGAGGACACATAGGGAAGCAGTAGTCGTCCTGATTCTTTCAGTCCGTGGCGCTTTGTTTCAGAGTAAGGCATTTCCGCCGACCTAAGTAAGATGCCTTGAACTTGTTTAACCCATCCTGATTACCTGGTATATTGTAGACTATCACACTTAGCTTTGTGTCTAGTCTTTTGATAACCTCTGTTATGATGATGTTAATCAGAATGTCTACCTTGGTTACTGATTTTGTGTCAAATTCTCCGGGGTTTATAGTTCCGGTCAGGATGCTCAGAGGTGTAAGTTCACAGACCTGCGATGTTATTTCACTAATCTGTGTGGATAGTTCAGATATGCTGGCCATATTTTCTGAACATCCCGCATTCACAGCCTTACTACACCTTATGTCCCGCATCTCAGTCTTCAGCTCTTCTACAGATAGCTTTAGTCGTTCTGTTTCTTAAGTAAGTGTTGAAGCTGGACTCGGTATCTGAAGTTTCGTGGCACATGCATAGGGATTAATTAAAAAGGTCTCTGTCAGAACCAGGTGCTGAGTTTGTAGAAGCGATGCTACTGCTAGTTGTCAGCATGTTTCTGTTGTCAGTTCCAGCCACATTAGATAGTAGCGACGCGGCATCTTGACGCTCGCGGCGTATTGGCGTGGTGTGTGACTCGTGTATAATCATATCAGTTGTAATTTGAAGTGGCGTAATGCTGGACGTTTCCAGGATTTGATTGAAAGTCTATATCAGCATCATCGAGACTGGCAGTAGGTGTTTCAGACGCGTGACATTTTCATTAAGCTCCCAGTGGGCAGTGATGCTTGTTAAAGCTACTCTAAAATGTTGATAAAGTCTGATATGAACGTGAACTTCATATTAAGTGTTTGGTCGTAGTATCAGATATTTATAAAGTCAGAAAGAAATAGCTCATTACTTCTGCAACGGAGAGATTCGGAAATTTGTTTCTGTGACAGCATTTGATACTATAATTATGGGCGCCGTTTCAATTTTGTTCTCTAGCTTCGTTTGCGCGGCTGTTTCATTTGAGGTTTGTTGGTTAGACTTTTTAAGATGGAATTGCATTGGCTAAGTAAGACAATAGCAGACACCATGAGGTACCTTGCTTCTTACCTTGGGAGGCTAATCAGAATTTAGGAGAGGTAGAAGTTACGAGGTTGTTTAAAGGGGGACCATAGATTATGGGGTACTCGCGATCGTGATTTCAGAACAGTTTAAGATTCTTCCATATTTTTGATTCTGTTGTTTAATCTAACCCAAGAAGCCTAATCTTCGCGAAATGCCAGTTATTGTCCAGTAGTTTTACATAGCTGCAATCTATTTTTTGCCACAGGTGACGTTTGGAAATCCACTTCTGTAATACTCATTATCTGAGTTAGTAGTGCTTTAGTTTAGCACTCGCCATCTTCCAGATACAAAATTGGGACACTGATTAGTGCGCTGGGAAAGAAGCATAATTACCGTTGTCCGGTTACTATTTTCTTCATGGCTTATTACAGTAAACGTATAGTCGACTATACGTAATCAAGGATCCTTGACTACGTCTATGCTGATTCATCAGTTTTTCCGCTAGAAATGGATTTATTTAAAATCGGTAATAATTAATTGTTACTCACTCAGAAACAGATGACTAACAAGTGATAAGCTGAGTTATAAACAAAATATTTGAAGCCAGTAAAATATGTGTCTGATAGGCAATGGAGGGGATAAAGTGGTGGAATCGTTCCACAGAAAAATCGTATCTCCAGCTTTCTTCTGTGGTTAAGTGGTACCTCAAATGGCCAGGTGCTTTTCGTACGAATGCATTTCACTGCACATTGTTGAAAATTACAGTTCCGTGGAGAGTCCTCCGTTCTCATTCACTTCGCCGAGCGAGAGCCTCTCGGTGTATGATGAGTTTTCTTCCTGTATTTTCGGTTTACAATTTGTTTATGGAACGCAAAATATCTAGCATTTCGAACCGCGACGTCCACGACTTAGTTAAATTCAGAATATCTTGTTATACACATGGAAAGTTGAGATCACTGTAAACGTACCTGTCATTATTGACCTTCAGACGGGATTTAGAGCACCATAATATGAAATTTTATATTTGAACGCGTCAGTTTTCTGTTAACATTAAATGACAGATTAATCGTTCGTTCAGAAGGCTGAATAAAAACGATCAGATATATTGTCGTGAATTTGACTGATGTGTATTCATGCACTGCGCCCGGTAACCATGCAGTCGTTTTTCATTTATGGTGAGGAACCTAGCTATCCTCGAATTGCCAGTCTTTGATGTAACACTTTGGAGTTCATTACGGCATTTAGTATTCCGAGGCAGGGATAATTTTTCTACAACGGCGGTTTGTTCAGAATCTTTTCTGCTTTGGACAACTCTCAAAGTACACTAATTGTTAAGTCGTTTAATTCATGACTGTACTAGGACTAAACGACTTTGGGCTCACCAGCACATAGGATTACATTGCCTGAAATGGAGCACTCGCAAATACTGTCCGTGTAGATCATAAAAAGAAGTGGACTTAGGACTGCCCTGTGCAACTCCACTTCGGATCTTCATAGGACGGAACAGTGCAGATTTGATTTGATTTTTTTGAGACCGATCACTAAGAAATGACTCTAACCAGTTTAGTGGTGGATTACGAATTTCACAGAAGTACGGCTTCTCAAACCGAATATTGTGAGATATCGTGGCAAATATCCATGATAAACCGAAGGGGAGAACAATGGCTAGTTTACGTGCTTAGGGGCTCCTAATGACTCATTTGTGAAAGTGAGAATGGCACATTACTTAGGGCCTACTTTTGAGAAATCCGTGCTGAGACTTTGTGAGAAGTCTTTTCTTATGCAGGTAATCAGGCAACTAAAGGATACTTTTGTGGATCCTTAATTCTATCTAGAACTATTCGGTGATTGGTGCTTCGGTGTATCTCTGAAGCTTTTAGGTTCTAGTCTTTATTGCTATATTATTTCACCGGTACCTGAATTATCCACTAAATCATTTGTCAAACTCACTGTTATTTCCTCAATTTATTTCAGAATAATGAAGGAACTGCTTACTCTTGAACCTTTATTAAAAGCTTTTTTGATCCGAAACGTTTTCAATGCAAACATAGTTGAAGCAATTTGGAAGTTGTCTTCGTCGTTCATTATAATGTTGAATTATACATCATCATTTGATTCTGTTTCTAGTCTTCCTTCTTTAGACAGTATTGATGTAGCGTAGAACAAACGACAGGCTGTAAACTAGATTCGCCTTCGTTTTTCAGAAAGAAAGAGTACACTGTAAATAAGGATAAGTCCTCAACTGCTTCGCCTACTGATATAAGAGTCCACCTCTTGTTCTTTTTGCTTTCCTCTTACATGATATACCTCCTAATTAAATCAATTCCGATAATCATGGGGTCAGTTTGACTGTTTCCGTGCGTGTTAATTTCCTGTCAGATTGCCCCATGAAAGAGAATATTCTTATCAGAAGTTAACCGGTTGTTCTTTGTCAAATGGTCTTCAGCCAAATCCCTCACAGTTTATGACTTTTAATTTCACTGTTCTTGCTACCTAAGTATGTTGCCTGTAATTGTATCCAACAAGTGGGGGGATCCCAACATGGTGTGTTTAATTTCGGGCATACTTCCTAATGCCGAAGAATGAGTACTTTTGTGAATTCCCTTCTAATTTGCACTTGCTAATGTAAGATACTCAGTTGAATGAACCTTCGAATGTTGTTTCCGCCCTTCCTCTCTTGATTTTATACGAAACTCTGAGATGATGACAGAGCGCGTCAAGCCAGAGTTATTTTAAAATCTGCCTAAGTTTTCCCAAGACCACTCAAAAGACAGTCAATTTTCAGGATTATACTCGAACAACAGATATATGATTCATGAAGAACATCTAATTTATAGTTTTTTCGAAGTTATAATGTTAGTAAGACCTTGATGAATTTCATGTGGAAGAATTGTTAAAATGAATCGATCAGTAGTTTACATCAAGGCTGTGGCCTTCGCACAGTTTTGACTGGTTCAAGGTCACTCTAAAAGACCTGGAGTTTGGGAAAAAGTGGTGGAAGATGCTGAGATGCACGTGTTTCGACTTTTCCTTCTCTTAGGATGTACATGTAAGGAAATTTAGCTTTTGACTTTCGTTATAGTTCTTCGAATTCTCAACGCGGAGTATGTTGCTTCAGTAACAATACATTGTTGCATAGAATGTAGCGAAGTGAGTTGGAGTCACATATTTTCTCAGTTTTATCTCTAGATCACTTTACACAGTCTCACAGTTTCTCTCAATTTGAATCCTGACTTAAAACCAGAGCAAAGTACTTATGGATTTATCGTTACGCTTGCGAAGTATTCTAATCCAGCAAACTTGCCAGGCTTTGGTTGGTTGTCCAATACCCTCAAAAACTCAGTAAGTATATTTTTTATCGAATGTATTTCATATCACCAAGTTCTGCAAGGTTTAGTTTCATGTGTACTAGAACATAAAACATTCTATATGGAAATGAATTTTGGATACTGGTGGCATATACTTCTGTCATATAATAATTCCACTTGGTTAAAACGCAGTGGTTCAGCATGCCTCACTGATGGCATCTTTAACACATTTATTGCTGGTATTCATACTTAGGTTTTGACATGATTATTCCAAACGTCATGATTAAACATTACTGTGACGATGTTTTTTTATCAAATAGAATTCTTCCGTGACTGAAACACTTTGCTTATCGGTCAGAAAATGTACGTTATCTGAATGATTAACTGTAACTTCATCTTGATCATATACAGTTAATTGGTCACGCTGCATTTGCTTACTTTCTGGAAATCACCTTGTCTTTCGAAGCTGTGGTACATAGCTTCTTTAATTCCATATTAGTTTGTTTATTAGATGTATCACACAGTCACAGAAACAGTATTATTTACTGGATGACGTTTCGAACAAAATTTATTACTGTTCATAATCATATCAGTTGTAATCACACGACTTTGAAACTTGAGTTTTATAGTTTTCTTTGTCTTCTATTTGTCGTCGTTGGGATAGTAGAATTTTCCAGATATCTGGGTGGACAGGTGTTGAATCATTCCTATTACATGTATTTGCAGTTGCCTTGTTTATCGAATATATAAATAATGTACTGTTCTGGAATGTCATACATTTATTCCCCTTAATGAATTTGAACAAAGCATGAACTACATTTTTTGCAGAATAAAGTGGTACCATCATTTATTTCGCTGCCTCCTCATCAGCTTCTTACAGGCCAAAGTCATTATTAAATATATCTACAAAAACTATATATATATAATATGAAACACTTCCGAACAATAATGATAATACACAACGGCATTACGTAATCAAATGAAAGACAAAATGAAAACATCCAGTTGCCAGGGCAAGGAAAGAATGATAACTGCTTTTTTCTGAACACACAAGTCAGATTTCAGGCGCTTGATGGAGATTGCTTCAGCAAACTTTAGGAGAATTGAGCCCTTTTGCCTATTGATAATTTTGAACGATTTTGCAACATCCACCTCATGACCCGTGTCAAGGAGATGCCTGGCGGTGGCACTGTTTAAAGCATTTGTTCCCTTTAGACATAAACTTTTTGGTACATGTTCAGAAAATCGCAGATATGCCCTTCTTTCTGTCCTTCTGATCTAACTTCTCCCGCAGATACATGTAAATTTGTATATCTTGAGAATTATGAGACTAATAAAAATAATATTAAGTCTTGCAATCAGATTACAGCTAAAAATGTTTGAAAAATGGGGTTTAAGCAATTTTAATGCCGTTTAGTTTAAAGGCCACTTATTGTAATGCTGCTAAAATCGAGGCTGCCTTCCGTTACTATGTGTTAGTGCAAAAATTCACTTCGCATTTACAAGTTACAGTTCAAATCGGGAATTTTTTGTATCTGGGAAACTAAACATCTGTTACAATTCCAGAATTACTTATTTGGCTGTCATAATAGGTGGTTATCACGTGTTTTTTGCTAAAAACGTACTATTATTCATTTTGCCACGCCTTTGATTTATACACACGCATCGACGCGTTTCCTCTCCATTGGTTCTGGTGATTTCATTTCACTTGTCTACGTCAGAAATAATGAATTGTACAATGTTGGGTCTTATTGTTATTCAAATTGAAAGGAGCGAAAGTTGAAGGATTAGTATTTGATGGCGTGGAATTATTTGGGAGTAGATTCCTTAATATTAGTTATTGCAATTTCTTGCTTTCTTTTTTTTAAGAACTTCGAAAATCTTTACCGTATCCTTACATATAAAGAAGTGGTTGGTGACCATAACAGGGATAATGTAACTTCCAACACCAACGTTTATGGACTGATATCTGTACACAAAAATGAAGTGACGTAAGTTATTTTTAGAAGCTATAATTAATATTGAAGTCATTATTTAAAATTAAACTTTTGTATTGGTTTTGAGTCTTCATATTTTAACTGAGATCTCATGTAATCATTTTGTCTAAGTTCAAATGGCTGCCGTAATTATCTCCTGTAGCTATTGTAAAACTTCCAACATTACTTTTACTAAAGGTGGCACAGTAGTTAGGACTCTCGCCGACCATGCACATGGTCCGGGGTTCGATCCCCTGCCGGCGCACACCCGATATCTATGGTCGGCCTGAATTTGGGCTACCGATATCCGTGCTGAAAATTCCACACTTGTACTGAAAATACGGTGTGGAATCAAGCTGTAAATCAAAATAAAAAAAATAATAGGTATCTTATGATAATCTAGACTAATAGACACTCCTACACTCTTATTCCTACCTGCTACAGCCTGATGAAAACATGCGGAAATACTAACTCTAAATTCAGTCTGTGTGATTTTAACAGATGATCGAGAAAAAGTGATCAGTGAATGAAATAAAATTTTCTCTAATTTAAAGAACTGCGTGATTGGCTGCTATTTCAACCACCTGATTTGGTTTTAGCTTGGTTTCCAATTTGCCTTATTGCATTTTAACTATGTGCAATGTAGTTAGAGTTATTTGTTTGTTTCCCTGATAATCTGAAATTTTCCTACTTATGAGAGTTATAATGAGTTGGACTTTCGTCGGAAAATAACGTCACTTAACCAGCTATCTGCTTTTATAGTTAACTCGGTTCTTATGCAACATTTATGCGTATTTACCTCTCGATATCATTACGCTCTAACTTGAAACAATACACAGTAACTATGTTCTTGGTTATTATTTTTATTTCAGAAGCATTTCAACTTTCTACTTGTTTCCCTACTGGAACATACAATCTCACTAGTTCGTATCAACTGAAACTAATGAGCACTGTTTCTTCCTAATATAGGATTGTTTTAAGAGTTGGAATTGAACTTAGGACCTCCATTTTTCTATTCACAATTATTGCTATAATTCGAACATTGGATAAGAATCAAACACTTCATAATCAAAATCTACCGACTTGCGCTTTAGGGTTACTACCATTCACTGTCTTTTGTGTTTCTGTCAACACATCCGGTTTAATCATGCCTTACCATTTAAAGTTGAAAATCCACCACAAAACTAGTGACTGGTTTTTTATAATCAGATATTTAGATGTGAAACTTATGGATATTTATTTGGTTACAGCGTAGATTCTGTCACTAAAAGACATCAGCACTAGAACGACTGTAAATAAGAAAAATTTACAGCTAAAGAGTTTCAACGTGTTGTGAAACTGCTATCTAATGCTAGTTGGCCTTCAACAGTTCTTTAGCAGACGTCAGTTTACGTAGAAATCTGCTTTAAAAGAGACCAATTGGGTCACCATAAATCTTTTCTTTGGAATGGGAAACAATAAATCAAATTCATCGGGTGAATTACATAACAAATCCTACTAAGTGACAAATGTGACGACAATGTCTCAGTATTTGAAAACTCTTAGTCAATAAAAATGTGTGGTCTGGGTAAAAGCAAAACACACATATATTTATAATTGTTTTTACAGAATGGCATTTTGAATAGACTGTATATGACATTAGAAAATTTATCATAGGCTTGATAGATTTTTTTAAACATTGGATGGGGGAAGAATTTACCTGTAACTAATTTTTGGAACTTGATTGACTTTCCATTAAAGTGAAAATCCACTTAATATTAGTTTTGTCATACTGCTAGATTTGCATTGAAATCTATCCTTAAATTAATCCCTCTCCTCTTCGGAACCTTCGAAATGTTCTACCAACCGACTTTAAAATACATTTCGTGGAGTTCTAAGTCAGCTTGAAAGATAGTCTCTTATCAATAACAGTTGGTTACAGTATCCTTAATTGACAGAAGTTGAAATATCTGACTCATTAGTGACTGAGGCGCCAACACACCTGCTTTCAGACCGGACAACCTTGAACTTTGTTGTCCTTGGTGTCATGGGCTCACAGTGTCGATAAAAGGTTTTTTAGAAAGCTGAGAGAGTTCAGTACTTGTATTTTCCTGTTTGTGTCTTAGTATTCTTCTCAGTAAATTGTGTCTTTGATGAAATCGAGTTAGAAATTAATTCGTATAATGTATAGCAACTTTTTTTTAAATGAAGCCGTTTAAAAATTTTGTCCTGAATAAAAGAATGATATACTGAATATCCTCATTTAAGAACGTTCTGTTAAAAAATATAATGAATCCATTGAAAAGGCTCTCAGCGAAGAGTCACTCCTTTCAACATTATCATACTCAAGCCGTACTATTGCTTATATATAGCGAGTTTCTTAGCAACAAAAGAAACATTTCCAAGGATATGTCATTAGAATTGTAAATTTTAAATAATAATATACGTAACGCAGAGAGTTTTAATCGGATAGGAACTGAAAAAAAAGTAAGTAGACTAAGTGACGCAATATAATTAATGGGACTAATACAGATCAGGTTCTTTGTAGATTTAGTAAGTGAACAAACTTCTTCCGCATGCAGGGTTTGGGATATAACATGTAAATTGTCTTTGCTTCTGCGGTTTGAAAGGGTTTGATTCGTACTGTACTAGCGAGGTTCCCGCGTATTCTGTCGATGGCTTTGAAGTTAGATTGTGGGCTCGCTTGGTGTCCAGATTCTCTTAGGTGTTTCAGGATAGAGCTTCGGGGGAATCCTTTTTCTCCTATATGAAACCATGAGGGTAAGTGTTTGGTGATACGTTTCGATAACAATCTTCGGGTACGGCCGACATGCCTAGCTCCACGCAAGCAGTTCCACTAGTAGATATACATTGATGAGGTCAGCAG